ACCAGTTTCTTTTTCAAAACCTGAGCCTAATTGTGGGGGAATGCCATTCATACAGAGGAGATATACACTTATAGTAAATCTTTGAAGTGTATGTAAAGCCAAAACTTTTTTTTTAGTTTTAGATAGAGCATAAAAGCGTTAAAACCAATGTCAAGTTTTTATTGCCGTGTCTTCGTTGGTTGGATTTATCTTCTCTATTGTCCTAGTGGCCATTAATATGAGGCCAAAGTGAATGGAAGGTTTAAAATTCACAGTTGCCACCACATAAGGATAGAGGACAAATTTTCCAATGGGCACACCTGTTATGGTAACAACTGTGTAAGGGAGAATTTCTCTCACTTCGGACAGATTTAATTAATTAATGCATAAATGACTGGCAGAGGTCATTCTGCACATACAAAGCCGATGATAAATGATGGACCCTTTGTTGCTAGGACACATGGACCCTTTGTTGCTAGGACACAGGTGGCTTGGGCCATCTAGCACCCATTGTTGCTAGGAAGCCGGCTACTCAAGCCGCTTTATGTCTTTCATTGCTAGGATGCTCAAGGACCCTGTTAAAGCCATCCCGTGTCCCAGCAACCAATATGGCACATTGGCACTAAGCACTGTACATATGTAAACTTTACACAAACCTTTAGATGTGTACAGAGTAAATAAAGCTGAAATCTACAGCCTTGAGTGCAGCCTGAACAAGAACCATTATGCCAGAGGGCACTAAGTATTATTTTAATGAAAGCTGCAGATTTAAAAATTCATGTTTAAAATGATAATGCCTAATTGTGATTATTTTCATCCATTTGAATGTTATTACACTTACACAATACACATGGGGCCATTATTGAACATTCATTCTTTACAGTCAAGTAATGATCTCTCTAAGCATCTATACTCATCTCCATTCGTTCAATAATGTATATGCCTATTAATTTTTAAAATTAAATTTATTTTTATTGATTTCTACACAGTGGAAATTTAGAATTTATTTGACATTTGTTGGTTGTTGCATTTATGCATTATTTGATTGATCACTGCATTAGTACCCCTGTCATCTGTACTGCAGTGGTTGCTACACTTTATTTTGTGTTTTCAATAGTTTTATATTATTTAGTGTTAAAATTATGACATCTTCTACTCTGTCTTTAAAGGAAATCTGTTGCAAGGAAGCATAGAGACTTACATTACTGACTACTCTTCCTAAAAATACTGCATCCTTGGATGTCATTTTGATACAATGGCTTCAATACTTTGAGTCACTGACCCAGAACAGACATGAAGTTTAGGAGCTGTCTTGACTCTGACTTAACTAATCTGCACACTTTTCCTGGTCCGTTGCTAAGAAATTGTTAGTCAGGGACAGCCAGGCAGCTAGCATTTCCAGGAGGTCCACAGTGGCAGAACCTACACAGACAAACACACATATACAGTTGGGCGAATTTTACAAAACTGGAGCAGACAAAATCTGGAGCAGTTGCCCATCAGCTTCTCGCTTCAGTTTGATCAGATAAGCTTTGAAAATGAAAGATAGAAGCTGAAGATTCTGCCTGCTCCAGTTTTGATAAATTCCCCTCATTATGTGTATGTAATATTATATATTTATTGACTGGGAAACACCAAGTTTTTTTTTTTATTCAGACATGTATATTATTTTCCTAAATGCATTCCTACTTAATCTTTTCCAAATATTAAAAGTGCTTCTGTGTTTAAAGAATATTTGCGGCTACCCTATGGAGGCTATGTTTCCTCAGTGGTAGTCGTATTAGTGAAAGTATACAGTTTTATACAAGTACATGCTGTATATTGTGTAAATGATATTTAATCATGGAGCGTATTCACTAAAAAAACTTTTGTGATCACATTATGTGTTTTCCCCAATATGTTCCTGAACTATCATTCCACTTATGATTAACACAACTTTGTTATTTAGCCACACTTTATTTTAGCATGTAGATGTACAGTAAGTAGGGAGCACAATCTCTATTACACATTGCACTTTACAAGTGCTCTCCACCCCCTCAATGCAGTGTTTCCTGTACATGCCCCTACTTTTTCCACAGCCACCAAGAGTACTGTGTCCTCAGCCATCCATAGCACCCCCTCTCTCCACAATGACCCTTTCCCTCCACAGAGGCCCTATTCTGCCATAGGGCCACATCACAAACCCCCTCAGCCTCCCATAGTACCTCCCGCCAGCCACCTATAGTGCCCCCAAGCCTGCCACAGAGCATCCCTCCACCTACATAGCTCACTACAGTGCCCCATTTGCCTGCTGCAGAGCCCCCAATCCCCCAACCAACTGCAGAATTCCTAACCCCACTACACTGCCCATAGAGTCCAACACAGTGCTCCTGCAGAGCCTTACAGCTACCTCTAGAGCACCTAATATTTTTCTCCCCACTAACCATCATTATGGGTATTTCCTTCCCCTACTGACCACTGACCCAGGGGCATCTTTCCTCACACTGACCGCTGACACCGGGGCATCTTTGCTCACACTGACCACTGACACTGGTGCATTTTTTTTCTTCCCTGTTACCACCCAGATGCTAAGAAACTATGCCAGTGCCCAGGCTCTATTGAATGATACAATATGGAAGTGTGATGTTTCATTCAAGTATGGACCACAGTGTGAACTTTTATTAAGAACTAAACAAGGAGTTTGCATTCTGATAAACTTCAGGACATATTACATAACTTACAATTTTGAAATATTATTAAAATAAAATATGAAATATTGAGGAGAATACTACAAAATTATTATAAGCTGATATAGTTACTGGAGACTTAATATGATTAATAAATGTGATTTTTGTTTTCCATTTATAGTATTATGTATTTTAGGTAATGTAGTATATAAATATCAAATATACATTTGTTTGTCTGGCACCAGCAATTTTTTTCCTGAGAACAAAAACAAAATGGAAAAATGTGCATTTCCCATAATGGTAAATAAAAAAAATATTAAACTTATAGCTAAACTCCATGCAAAATATTTGTTTTTCTTTCCATGCAGTCCTGAGATTTACATAGCTGTGACAGACTGTACATCCCGCCTGGTGCCTCAGTTTTCTCTAGTGCAATTAAGCAAATAAGGTAGGTCACCTAACCACCTCCAGCCTGTGACTGTACAGCAGTTTACCTATTAGCATGTTGTCAGAACATGTGCAAAGCAGCACACCTTTTTGGCTTCTTGGCTATTTGGCTCCCCCCCAAAGCTGGCCATACACTGTTCCTTTATAATGTGAGTAGATCCCCTATTAAAAACCTGTCCCTTATAGCTAGATCTCCCCTTTACTCCTGTACTGGTGACAACTTAAAATGTTGTATTTTCCCTCACTTTCAATCTCATTAGAGTGGGCAATCTCCCTAGTGGGGACAAGGCAATTTCTTGTACATTTCCTAACCTCTACAACAAAGAGCTCAAATATATTAACGCTCTTGGCCAAGGCACTCCTATCAATGTAGGTTGTGGAAAGTAGAGACTTTGGGATGACATGCTGTCTTTTATGAAAAGGAACTTTATTTTGGAAGCATAAAACACCATCAACACATTTCATAGCTGCTCAGTGTACATGATTAGATATTGTGCATTAAGACTCCTCTGCATTCCATTTAGCAGTGTGGCAACACTTCCTATGCAACTGCTGCACCACCATCCTGCTCTTTGGACAATTAGCAGGAATGTGAACCAGAAAGCAATAAAGTTTAATTTAATCACTGTAGCTATTTTAAAGATGAACTTTATCATATAAACACAGATTAAATCACCTATGTAATCATTAACACATCATTAAATGCATTTCAAAAATGCAAGTAGTAGTATCTGGATTTGATCTGGTATCTGCCTCTTGCAGACACTGTATAGTGTAGCTAGAGTTAAAGCAAAAGAAAAAGTAGAAGGAGCCAATCCGTTCATGTGCTCACAAGAAGCATGCTGATAGGAAGAGAATGCACAGTGACAGAGATAAGCTCATCCGTAGTCTGCTTCTCTTTCCATTCTCCAGTAACAGGTTGAGGCAGATCCATGAAAACCTAGACTCAGAGGATGTGGGTTGGCCAAATGCTGGCCAAGCATTTGTTGCATGTTACAGCCACTTCTTTACTACATGCATGTACTCCAGCAAAAAGCTGCATGGTGTCTCTCACAATGGGTTTCCTAAAGGTAACAACAGGTAACCATACCTGCAGAATGTGTGTTGGCACAGCCACTTGTAGCTTCCATGTGACAGGGTAATAATGCAGTAGGAGAAGTGCATGACAGGGACGAAGTGTTTTCATTCAATAACAGAGAATGCCAGAACAAGGACCTTCATGTCAGGATCAACACTCATTTCAATCAAAGCTGCAGATTTCTAAATTATATTAACATGTTAAAGCACATGTATGCCTTACTTTGTTATGCTTCCTCTACACAATGCATAAGTCACACAACCGATCCAAGCATTGTTTGTGATACTTGGGTGGATGAAAGTATTAAGGGATGTATAAAAATTTAGAAGTTTTACATAGCTAGCCTTAACCCATTGTTCTGGAAGTGGCAAAAAAGATCTTAATTATTGGGGATGTGATAGATTGGGGCATGTGAATACTGTTTTAAGAAGGCTTTACTGTGCTACTTATTAAAATCAATAAAGGTTTGTCTGTACATATGCTCTTGGGTTTTAAAAGGAATGATAAACTTAACTTGGGGATAACTTGAGCAGCTCCGGGGCTTAGCAGGAGGGAGGATATGGACCTATGCAAAAGGAAATACAGATATCTCCACCTCACTAATACTTAATGCTTTAAGCTGGTTTAGGCTGTCTGTGCAGGGACACATTCACCTTGCACAGCAACAGAGATATCAACAGGCAAAAGAACTGTAGAACTCCTGCTAACATAATTAGATATAGTTTATTAACATTACATATGAATTTTATAATGATATAACATTCAAACATTGGGGATTTGTAGTGTTTAAGATCAAAAACGTTTCTGCTTTTTGACACAAAAATACAAATATGGCATTTATGCTGAAAACTATGATGGGATCTTCCATGAAGAATCTTGGAAATAACCTTGGGGGAGAAACAGAGACAAAAGAAAATCCAGATGGGAAAGAGACAGCACAGTCCAAGGGTATGACACGAGAAGAATTTGAGGAGTACCAAAGACAGCTGGTGGAGGAGAAGTAAGTATGTCTAAAAAGTGTAAATCAGATATTTATTTATTGACAAATATTTTGTGACACATACCTAGAAGGCAGTCTTTTCCATCTAAAGCAAAAGTTGTATATGGCATGTACCTGCTACTGTAGTTAAAAATGTTGCATTTAAGATTAGTCATAGCTAGATTTTATTAGGATGTTAGACCTTTTAAACTGCAATGTGTTCTTTTGATATAAACATTCTGTTTATTGTTTTTAGATTTTTAGGATGTAACACTTAGTTGTGTTGCTGTTTTTCTCTGTATACACAGATAGGGGAATTTATCAAAACTGGAGCAGCTATGCATGGCAACCAATCGGCTTGTCTCTTCCATTTTCAAATCTTTACTGAACAAACTGAAGAGTGAAGCTGATTGGTTGCCATAGGCAACTGCTTCAGATTTGATAGATTCACCCCAGACACTGGCGTCACAAGGGTGGGTGCAGCCCGCACCCGGGTGACACCATTGGAGGGGTGGCACGGAAATAACATACAGTCATTTTGGTGTCGCCCCCTCTGAAAATTCAGACACTCGATCATGGACTAAGAGCCCAACAGTGTGGGGACCTAGCGGCATACCTCATCCCGCCGGGTGAACATCCCCTCCTTTCTCTGCCGACGTCCACAACCAAGATGGCTGCCGACAGGCATCAATAAGATGGCCACGCATGTGCAATGACTTCACGGCAGGGTGTCACCCAGTCTCCACTCCGGGTGACACCCGGCCTCGGGACGCCCCTGCCCCCAGAGACTTTTAAGAAACATATACAGTAATACCTTGGTTTACAAGTAACTTGGTTTGAGAGTGTTTTGCAATTGTTGCCTTGATATACAAGCAATGTCTTGCAATAAGAGCAAAGTTTTGTAGAAAAGCGCCACCGAATAAGGCTGTAGCAGTGCGAGCGATGAGTCTGTTTAACGACAATGCATGTCACATTGAATAGATTCCTTGTTAAGGTTTCACGAAATGAAAAAGATTCCATTGAGTCAAGAGATAGCAGTGATTCTGTTAGTGATGGTGAAAGTCGTCCTACACAATAATCCTCCTCTCTCGTCTCCCTCACACCAGCCATGAAGGTATCTGTAATTGGTTTACTTTTCTTTATATTTTGTACAGTATTATATTACAGTACAGTATTGTAATCATTTTTATGAATATTTTTGGGTTGTGGAACGAATCATCTTAATTTCCATTATTTCCTATGGGGAAATTCGCTTTGATATACAAGCGCTTTGGATTACAAGCATGCTGCCGGAACGAATTATGCTCGTAAACCAAGGTATTACTGTACTGAAAATAGATAAGTACTGTAATGCATTTTATACATTGGATAACAACATTTGCTGCACATGTTGACTACAGGTCAGAACAAAATTGCAGTTCAAGAGAATAAACTTATTGCAACAGCAGAAACAGAGACATATAGACATTTAGGGCCTGTTCACACCAGCTCACATGCTAAAATTAAGCATTTGAAATAGAGGTATAATGTGTCCACTTTTTGTTAATATACTTTTTTGGTCATCCTGCATCCTATGCAATTTGTACATGGATAAAAGCCTACATTTCCAGAGAAGTTTAGGCTTTTATCCATGTAAAAATAGCATTCCAAAGAAGTGTAGGCTTTTATCCATGTAAAAATTGCATTCTAAAGAAGTCTAGGATTTTATCCATGTAAAAATTGCATAGGATGACAAAAAAGTATATTAACAAAAAGAGGACACATTTTACCTTTATTTCAAATGGTAGACATTTTGAAATAAAATAATTTCTATCCTGCCACACATCTTATAGGGAATTGAGAGTTCGTATTAGTGAACATGTAAAAAATAGCTTTGACCATCATAGTGTTTCCAGACATTTTAAAGAAGTACATAACAAAGACCTGTCGGTTATGACATTTTATGGAGTAGCTAGAATGTATGGCCATTGGAGGGGTACTAATAAAACAAGATTGATTTCCAGAAATTAAACTAAATTTTTTTTTCCTTCTTGACACATTGAAACCTAGAGGGTTAAACAGTGAGTTGGATATTAATTGTTTTATTAGTAATAGTTAATTATAATGTATTATGAGTACAATTCCTTTTATTATAAAAGTTGATTTTAATTAATGTGTTACTATGGGTGGCTGCATTTTTATTTGCATTAAAAAAGATATATATATGGGAGGAAGACTGGGAAAGGGCTATTATGTGGGTTTGATTAGAGCAATAAGTGAAGAAATCTGTTTCGATCTACTGAGTATGGGTATGATTGATTGAAGGGGTGGGACTGACATCTAGTGCTTTGCTTTTGCATTTGGAATGGATATAAAAGACAGGTATAGACAGCGTGCTTGTCACTCTTGATAAAGTCGTTAGTGACAAAACATGTCGAGGACGAGTGCGCTAGCTATCTACCTGTCATTGATTTGAATGATACAACTGACGGCGGTATTCTGAAAACTGGGAAGGTGAAAAAAGTATTTGCAAAGACTTAAGGTGGCCATACACTCTACAACCATCGCAAGACCTTAGTCTTGCGATGGTTGTACAGGGATTAAAAAACGTACGATCTGCCTATCTTGGACAGGCAGATCGCACTCTCGATCATCGCAAGCCCGCCCCCCTGAGGGGCGGGCTTCCGATGACCGCAATGCTGAACGGGCAGTGTGCGCGTGCGCACACCGGCCCGTTCGGCATTTGTCTTCCGAGCACCGTTCTAACCAGCCGAGAATCGTACGATTCCCGGCTGGTTTTCGAACATGCTGGTTCGACGGAAGACGTGCGACCGTACAGTAGAAACGGTCGCACGTCTCCGTTCACACTGCTCGATTCTCGTACGATCACGGGATTTCCCGCGATTCTCGTACGAGAATCGAGCAGTGTATGGGCACCTTTAGACGTGATTTTTTTTTGTACATCGCTGGCTTACATTAGTTGTCATGTAAGTTTTTTTATTTGTGGTTGCGCAATAAATGTATCCAAGGATTTCATGCTATATGCAGTGTTTTTTGCTTTATGCATATCTGAATAATCTAACCTCGGATACCTATAACCAATAATATCCGGGGAATGAGGAGAATATCTATATAAAAAGGTGCCCACACACCTTACGATAATCGTACAATAATCACGGGAAATCCCGCGATCGTACGATTATCGTAAGGTGTGTGGGAGCAGTGCAACCTCTGCTACTGTAAGGTCGCACGACTTTTATCTCAGGAACATGTTCGAAAACCCGCCGAGAATCGTACGATTTTCGGCGGGTGTGTAGCATGTACGTAAGATAAAAGCCGGACGGGCCGGTGTGCGCAAGCGCACACTGCCCGTTCAGCATTGCGGTCATCGGAAGCCCGCCCCTCAGCGGGGCAGGCTTGCGATCATCGCAAGTACAATCTGCCTGTCCAAGATAGGCAGATCGTACGTTTTTTTAATTACCTTACAACCATCGCAAGACAAAAGTCTTGCGATGGTTGTAAGGTGTGTGCCCAGCATAAGGAGAGGAGAGGATAAAACAAATTGTTCAAAAGAAAGGAGTATGAAAGTGCAATCCGAAAAAAAATCTTATTACCAGGGAAATAGGATGCAGAGGAGACATTGTAACAATCATTGGTGAGAATTTGGTGAGTGGACAAAAGAGATTGAGTGTACAAAGGCGGAACACAGAGATAAAGAGCACCTATTTTGGTGTCATTTGATCCATATTACTATTTTGATGAAATTTAACACTATATGGATTTTTCTTCTTTTTTTCCACTATTGAATTCATGTAATTTGTCTTTTTGATAAATTTTTTCTGATTTTTTTTCACCGATATATTGATTGTGTGTTATATCAAATTCAACATTATTTTAGTTGTCACTTTCCTCTGCTGATTAGTCAGCGGTATGAGTAGATATACACATAGGGGGCAGATAGGGCAGGTTTTTTTGGACACTTAATTGATTGATGAGAGAAAGTATTCACATATCCTCTGATTTACTCACTGCAGCTGTCACTACACACGTAGGGGGAGATATCCATGAGCGAATAAATAAAAGATTATATATAGTGCACTGCTTGGCCCTTCATACTTAAAGGAGAACTATGAGGTGAGTGATTTTCACTCGACCTTATAGTTCAAGCCAACCTGTGACAGTGAAACTATCACAGGTTGGCTCTATAGATCGGGAAGTGAGCGAACACATACCGTCCCTCGCTTCACTTTCCGATCCCTGCAGAGATCCTCCAGCGCTGCGTGGAGGAACGGGGAGGTGGATGCTTGCGGACTCCATTGCTGACAGGACACACATACAATACAAAAAGAGGACACCCATTTGATCAACACTCTGTGGGAGTGGGGAAGTTGTATTCAACAACCAAATGGTGATTCTGAACTGTCTAAACGGCTGAAATTCTACTCGGAGAGTCTGGACTCGGACACTGGATACAAAGTGGGTTCCTGTTTATTTGATCTCCCCGGAAAGCCCCTGCTGGAACACTGTGCATACTGTTATCAGCTCCACCGCTTTACTTTTGCCTTACTATCCCTTCTCTCCCATCCCTCTGCTACCGTGATTTGCGGGTGTTGGATGATCTAAGTGCCATGAACTGTCAGGACTCTTGAGGAAGCGATACCACGAAACGCCTCGAGTCTGTACAATTTAAGTGCGTTATTTGTTTCATTGATATAGTCAACTGTGTATGTCATTACTATATATTTGATTGCAACAAACAAAATGGACACATGGCAATTTTTGTTTTTACATACATTTTAATGTATATTCATATCAATAAAAAATGTAATTTTAGATACATATTGTTGTTCAGTTCCTGGCACCATCTTCATGCCCCCTGCTTTATCAAATCGCCATTGGTGCGATTTGATAAATGGCAATTTTTGTTTTTACATACATTTTAATGTATATTCATATCAATAAAAAATGTAATTTTAGATACATATTGTTGTTCAGTTCCTGGCACCATCTTCATGCCCCCTGCTTTATCAAATCGCCATTGTTATAAAATGTAACTTTTAGCATGCTAACCGAGGCCTGTATATTTCAGAAGATGTAACTCAGGTTTTTTGCATTTTCTCTGACCGTGGGGTGAACTTGCAGGGATGTCCACTCCTGTGAAGATTGGCAACTGTCTTCAATGTTTTCCACTTGTAAATAATCTTCCTCTCTGTAGAATGATTGACTTTAAATTAGGGATGCACCGATACCATTTTTCTAGACTTAGTATGAGTACCAATACTTTAGTGTCATATGACATTTTTCTAAAACAATACTGACTAATGATTTTAGGAAAGTGGTGAAGTGCCAGAGCCAGGTCCCAGCTGCAAACACTGCACCCCTGGTAGTTCTGCCTCTGACGCCAAACTGTAGAGGTGTCAGAATGTTTACTCCGATAAAATAAACAGTTTTGTATTGATGAAAACGAGCAAGGATCTATAATCAAAGGAGATTTCCAACTTATTTTCACAAATCAACTAATAACTCAAGTTCTTTATTTGCACTAACCTGAAGACGAAATAAGAACAATAATGTGCAAAAATATGTATATTAACTAAAATCAGTGCAAAATAATAATTAAAAAATATAATCGATGACAATAAAGTATATGGGAAATTTAAATATTATTAACAAACATAATAATAAAAATAAAACCACAGGATATTATTTCAAATATTAAACAAAATTAAGTAACTGGAATGCAATTAGTAGCTTCTCAGTAGCTAAATAGCGTCAATAAATTTACCGGCAGCACCGGAGTCAATCAGAGCCGAATTAACCACCGAGGAGTCTGCCCATGAGAGGACAACAGTGACCAGCGGCTTCTCCTGAAGGAGCCCTGGGGACGAGGAAACCCCACCTAAGATCCGTCCCCTATGGAGTCTTAGGTGTGAGCGTTTCCCTGGCCGTGTGGAACACGATCTCAAAAGAGGACCTGCGAGGCCACAGTAGAGACATAGCCCCTCTCGCCTCCTATAGGCCCGTTCAGCTGCAGACAAACAGGTACTGCCCAGCTACTTCATCCTTGATATTATCAGAGAGCCCATGGAAGAAGGCCGCCACCAGTGCCTCAATATTCCAGCCTCCCTCTGCTGCTAGGGTACGGAACGCTATGGCATACTCGGCTACAGTTCTCATACCCTCCCGGATGGATGTAAGCAGTTTAGCCGCAGAGAGGGATCGAGCTGGCACATCAAATATCAATCACATCAAGGGGTGTGGAATTCCTATCGCCCGACGCCCGGGGCATGCAGTTTTGGGCAGCGGGCGAGTAGTTTATTTGTACATTTAGCCCTGCTCCGGGCAAGCAGAGCTAAATGTACAGCGTGGGGCCGCGGCTCGCTTTTATACAAGTGACCTGATCAGATCACTTGTATGGAAGGAGCGGCGGCAACCGTGTCTGGCCCCTCCGCCCCCCCCTGCCGTGGTTTTCGGGGTCCCCCACTCCTCAGGGCGACCCGTGACCATGGCACATGAGCTCACCATAGAGCCACCTGTCTCAGCCGTTAGGAACTGCACAGAACATCTGTGTTGGAGGGCAGGTTCCATAAAGAAAACCTGTCAACCTCCAAACTATCACATAGGGGCTTTTAAGTCCCTATGTGATAGAAATAAAATTAAGTGGGGAAAAAAGTACAAAATATTTAAATTAAAAAAGATAAAAAGTAAAAAATAATAAAATATAGAAAACATTTTTTTAAAAAGTGAAAAAGTAAAAAATAAAATAAAAAATTAAAACCAACCCCGTTGCCCCCGCCATCTGCATGCAAATAAACGCATGCATAGGACATTGTGTGTGTGCATTGAGTGCTGCCACCATTCCACTGTGCGCCATATTGTGGTAGCCAGGCAGCAGAACTCAAATCTGGCCTGGTCTCTCCCAAACCCCCCAACTATATATACCTTTTGGCAACCAGTCCTTATCCTTCGCCAGTACAGGTGTACTATCTGTACCAACGCAGTCCTGCCCTATGCATTTTTAATTTCGCTTGCAAATTGCAAGCATTCAGTGTGGTCAGGTGACCATGCTGACCAATGAGAAGCGCTATTTAGCACAGTGAAATGCAGTTTTGATTCGGGATGCACCAATACAGAGTATTTGGGCGAGTACTTGCACCTTCCCCAATATCGGAGCTTCCGGTCAGCGGAAGATTTCCACTGACCGGCAGTGCCGTTGGGGAACATGCAGCCAGCTTCCCGTGCAATCAGGAAGCGGGGCAGCGACTAATGACCCGCCTCCTGGTTTCCTGATTAGCCGGGAAGCCAGCTCTTTGCTGATTGGCTGGGAAGCCAGCTTCCTGGCCAATCAGGTCATTACTCGCCGCCCAGTTTCCCGATTGGCCGGGAAACTGGCTCGATGCTGATTGGCTGGGAAGCCGGTTTCCCAGCCAATCATAATCAAGCTGGCCAAACAACATGGAGTTGGCTTCCCTGGCAATCAGGAAACCGGGTAGCATGTCATTACCCAATCCCTGGCTTTCTGATTGCCCGGGAAGCCTGTTCCATGCCAACGGAAGAACCGATACTCGGTATTGGCGAGTACCGAAAGCAAAATATCAGTACTCGTACTCGATACCCAAAAACCTATATTGTGCTATTTTGTGGTCTCAGGTGGCCTGGTGGGGTCTCTGGTGGGCTCTGCGGATTATTATTATTAATAATATTTTCTTTCTTTTTTAACTTTTTTTCATTTTAATTTCTTTTATTTTTTACTTTTTTTCACTTCACTTTATTGCTATCACACAGGGGATAACAAGCTGCAGAGGTGACAGGTTCTCTTTATGAAGCTGCCCTCCTGGACTTAGAACGCACTGGACTCGGAAATTAGGAACGCACGGGACTCAGGACATAGGAAACCACGGGACTCGGGACTTTGCAACACAGACTAAAAACAGAAGTATACTCACAGATAATACAAGCCCTACCCAGCCCCTGCTACCTGATTGCTCGCTCTGTCTCCGTGCAGCCTTCTGATCCTGGTCACTGGAAGGACACCCTGCCTCCTGCAGAGCCCGCACTGAGGCATGTACAGATCATCCAGGGCCAGACAGGAACATGTACGTCTGAAGGGATGCCAGGGATGTCCTGTTTAATAAAACATCGGTGTCAGTGAAAACATTTAGCTCTGCTGCAGCCATCACCAATGTTTTATCAAACAGGACATCCCCGGCATCCCTTTAGACGGGCAGGTTCCATGCCCGTCTCTGGATGTTTGAACCCCCTTATCTACGTCCCTGCTCAGTGTGTGTGTGTGTGTGTGTGTGTGTGTGTGTGTGTATATATATACATGCACACCCGACCCATGGAGCAGCCATATGTAAATATACTTTGATGGCCTGTAGGGGTGTTCAGATATCAAGTACTGTACTTGGTACAAATACAGAAACTTCTCCAGCTCCAAGAGAGAAAAACTCAAACGTTAGGAGGCAGCTGTCATTTTTAGGGAGCATACGGATATATGCATACAGTGTGTGTGTGTGTGTGTGTGTGTGTGTGTGTGTACCAAGTACAGTACTTGATATCTGAACACCCCTACAGGCCATCAAAGTATATTTACATATGGCTGCTCCATGGGTTAATATAACTATTATGAGTAATATACTCTAACATTAACATTAGGAGTAGGGATGTCCCGATACCGATGGGGCCCGATACAGGGCATTTTGACAAGTACACGACGCTCAGCCGCTCAGCGCCGCCGACGTCCTCGAAAAGGAGAAAAAAAGCATTCGGCACCTCGTGAGGCACCTCCATTGAACAGGCAAGAGTGAGTAAGGGCCTGTGCTGGGATGGCAAAGAAGACAGTCAGTAGTTGCTCACGATAAGAGGGACTTACTGTCCCTATGTGTATGCACCATGGGTATCAGTACCGTCAAGCACCCAGGGCACATGCCCACATCCCTGGGTGCTCAGGCTGCTTCCACCCACTGTTGATCTGTGGAAGTGGGTACAGAGGACAGCTGGAGTGGGGGGGGCAGAAGTGCTGAGATGTGGACGGGGATTTAGAGATGAGCTGTGGCTGGGTGGTGAAGAGGTGAGGTGTGAATTGTGGTGCAAAGGTAAGCTGTGGCGAGGGGAAGCAGAGTTTAGCTGTGGACAGGGGGTATAGTGGTAAGCTGTGAATGAGGGGGCAAAGGTGAGCTCTGAATGAGGGTTACAGAGTTTAGCTGTGGATATGGAGTTCAGAGGTGAGTCAGATGGGTTTTTTTTTTAATGTCACCTGTCCCTTTAAGAAAAAGTATCGGTAATTGGTATCGGCAAGTACATGAGGGCCAGTACTTGTACTTGGTCTTGGTCTTAAAAAAGTGGCATCGAGACATCCCTAATTAGGAGTATATAACTTTACTCTTTTAGCTTTACTCTTTTAAAACCTACGTATATACAGTACAACCGTGATACTGATGTTTACTCATTTTAAAACAGGTCATAGTGATATTTTCCATGGAAAGTCACATAGTAAACTTTGAATCTGCATGCATTGCAGTTAAAGAGCTAGAATATGTAGATTATTACAATCCAGTAGCACATCAAAAGCCTCCTTGTTTCTCTTTTGTCCTTGGGAAGGCTTAACAGGTCCCTGATGCCCTGATGGCTCTTAGCCAAGGACAACAGAAGCCTCTAAAGAGGAGCAGTATACACCTGTAAATTACATAGATCAGCTTGCCTGTGCATCTGTCCATATGTTGATTAAGTGAAGTACTGATATTACAGCACTGTGTTTACACAGGATAGAACGGGACCATGCCTTTGCACAGAAGAAAGCAGAGAGGGCAACAGTCAGAATGCACATGAGAGACAAGTACAGACTACGACAGGTAAAAATAGTTTTTAGCATGTTTAAAACAAAAAAAAACTTGTAAACCAGATGAGTAGGACTATCTGCCCTAACAAAGAGTTGCAGACCTTATATGTTAATGAAACTATTAAAAAAGCTGTCGTCCCTAATCAGTAGATCCCTATTCTAACCACTATAATCAGCATGTTAAGTCCTATATATAATTCGGCTCCAAAGAAACAGCTAAAAAAGGTAAGAAATATTTTTCTATTATTATTATTTTTAGGTATGCTGTGTAAATGGAAACGCATAACAAACATATAGAGGGGGTTTCTCACATTTAAATGCAAAAGTGGAATTCCCTTTAAGGGTTTGTCCAAATCTGGGAAGTCTAATATGCAGATTAGTTCACCACTTAATTAAGGATGAGAGGTGAACTTTGTCAAACTTAATTCACTGTTTCACAGTTTAGAGAACCATCCAAAAACTTGTCTATAATTTTGCCATGTGGACTCCGTATACAAAAATGTATATAAAAACAGATGATTTAACATGTATAAAACCTTCCCGTGTAGCTTTGCAATCCCAGTGACCCCCCATTAAGTCACCCTGGCAACCAATCAGTGAATGGCCATCACTTTCCCTTTGTAAGCTAGGCATCCTGCTTTCTGTCCCAGTGGCATGTACAGTTGTGTGAAAAAGTGTTGGCCCCCTTCCTGATTTTTCATTGTTTTGCACGTTTGCCACACTTTAATGTTTCAGATCATCAAACAAATTTAAATATTAGACAAAGATAACACAAGTAAACAACATTTTAAAAGGAAGATTTTTATTATTAAGGGAAAACAAAATCCAAACCCACATGGCCCTGTGTGAAAGTGTTTGCCCTGGCGTAAGAGTAACACCACATTTCTGAAAAAGAACATCATACCAACAGTAAAATATGGTGGTGGTAGTGTAATGGTCTGGGGGCTGTTTTGCTGCTTCAGGACCTGGAAGACTTGCTGTAATAAATGGAACCATGAATTCTGCTGTCTACCAAAAAATCCTGAAGAATAATGTGTGACTATCTGGATAGCATCACATAATTTAAGGATTAAACATAGCACGTATCACAAAACCAAGCGCAGCACACCGGTTTATAAAATATCTGGATTATGGAAATCTGCGTCTCCCTAGCCAGTCACTAGGAGGTTTATGGCCAGTGGTGCATGTTTGGGGAGGACATAAATATATTCAGGGCTATGTGAAAGTATCTTTCCTCCCCGGGCCTCCTGGGGAGATTGCATGAAGTTTGTGCTGTCTCGCCAGGCATGTAGCCTACAGGTAGTCAGGTATGGACCCAGTCGGGGTCTGAATCTGGTCCTGGGCTGGAGAACCATGGAGGAATTTTATGTGCTGGAGGTGCCAGAGAAGCTAGTATAGGCTTGGACCTCTGAGAGACATCTGGTGTCCTGCCTAGGGAATTCTATACTAGATCTGCTAACCAGCTGAAGTTTTACAATACACAGTGTTACTGCAATCAGTTTAAAGGTCAGCGAGTCTAGAGTTCTGTATTGTCCTAGATGTCTGAAGACTCTTTACTCTCTCGCCCATTGAGTTGCTGATGGAATAAATCCTTTAAAATTCAATACAGTGACTGTTGGCCAACTTTCCAATTGCATCCCACAACCAGCTAAGGACTCATCCCCAAAGTGAAAGGTTAGCCCACCCTGCCTCTGAAGTCCCCCATATGCTCCAACATGTCAGCGGGGCACTACATTTAAAACAAAGGCTAGCATATTCTGGCAAGAAAAATTTCCTGAACTTAGCACAAGTGATTAAGTACTCATTTGAAATTTACATCAATTTGCATTCCCTGCTGTTAATTACAAAATAGTCCAGCTATACTTGATCCATCAGTCATATGTAACATTCAGAATGAGCAGATGCATATCTTCAGAATGTAATCATTGAAGAAGTAGCAGACTTTTAGCATGTATTATGTGAATTAGGGATGCACCGATACCAAGTACAGTACTCGGTACAAGTACATGTACCAATACTTTTCGAGCTCCAAGACTAGACTAGAGAAAAATTCAAAAGTTAGGAGGCAGCTGTCATTTGTAAGGAGCACACGGAGCTCCTGGGATTTGTACATCTCTGTTTTAATGTATGATTTTGTTTTTATAAATAAAGGGATGCACCGGTACTAGTTTTGCGAGTACAAGTACTGGTACTTGCCCAAGTACTTACAAGTACGAGTACTGATACATTTTTGTTTATTGTCATGTGACAGTTATTCTAAAACAATACAGCTGCAACCTCTGCCACCCTGGTAGTTCTCATGAAAATGCCCAAGTATCGGCATTGGTACTCAAAGTATCGGTGCATCCGTATGAGAATGTTTTCCAAAATATTCAAACAACAAAACACAACACTACTCCTGTGAAGGTTTGCCATTCTTCTTTAACTAATCAACCAAATATACATATATCTGGTATATTTTGTACACTTCTCTCTAACACATTCGCATCTTGTATTGGATTCAGGAATATTCCCATATTAAATAATATTTGTTGCAGTCTGTTTCCACACTAGAGAGATTTTCTTCCCATTACTTCCTGTCCTGAAAAGTAGTGAGGAGAAATCTCCACAAATACAGAGCATCGTAGCTGATAAAACAGACAACTCTGTCATATGTATTTCATCTGTGTTTTCAGCTGTCTGTCTGGAATTCAATTTGAAGTATCTATAACTTTAAGGCCTGGCTCACACCTGGGCATTTTACAGCACGTTCATACGCACTGTAAAACACTCAACATGTGAAAACCAATAATTGCCTATGGGCATGGTTCCCACCAGGGCGTATTTTAGCGTGTAGGAACGCGCTGAAATACGCCCTACACCCAAAGAAGTACAGGAGCTTCTTTGGGGCGTTTTGCCACGCGTTTCCATTGGTATTCCCGAGTGTGAATCGGGGTAACAAAGCGGTAACCCCGAGCCACACTCAGGAATACAGGAATTCCAACAGAAACCAGCAATTATACGAACTGATAATGGGGGGGAATACATCAGTAACGAAGTGAAATCATACCTGAAAAAACAAGGTATAGTACACCACACCATACACTCCTGAACAAAATGGTGTAGCTGAACTGAAAAATCGCACTCTTATAGAAAGGGCAAGATGCATGCTGTCAGACGCCAACCTACCTAAAAAGTATTGGGGAGAAGCAGGCATGCCTGCAATATACCTACAGAACATACTACCATCAAAAGCCGTTGAAAGCACCCCATTTGAAATGTGGCATGGATCGAAGCCTAGGGCACATTAAAGTATTTGGATGTAAAGCTTATGCCTATATTCCAAATGAGAAGTGATCCAGGATGGAGAACACAGCCAATGAAGGTATTGGTAGTGGGCGATAGTGAGCAAAGTAAGGAATATAGAATCCTCCACCCAAAGACTGACAAAGTGACAATAAGCTGTAGCATTATTTTGATGAGAACCCATCACCAGATACAATAATCCCAGGAAGTTGTGCAGTGAATTCATCCAGTGAACCAGCAAAGAAAACTGAGCAAAGTGAAGCCGCACAGGAGTCAGACACTGATTGGAC